ATTTTGAAAGTAAAGCTATTTACTTTGGAATTTGAATTTTATAACTTATGTGTTTCACTATATCTTATGCACTCACTGTGCCTAAGAACACCTTCAGGACAGTGTAAGAAAAGTAAGGATGTATCTAATCTCTTACATTAGTAGCACTGGCCACAAAGATGCTTTGCAGGAACCTTAAACTGTCTTCATAGTTCGGAGACTAGTTGTAAAACCTTGCTCCTCACAGTGCAGTCAAAGGGTAGGCAGCGCTGCATTACCCAGAACCTGTTACAAAATGCAGATCCCAGGCGACAACGAGAACTGAATTCCAGTCGGAAATTTAAGATCGCCAAATGATTCATGTTATGTTAAAGTTTGTAAAGCACTGCCCCAAGGCACAATTTACCTCCAGAAATATGTGCTTGCGACAGAAAAAAGAAAAAAATTGGCCAAAGTGTTACACCCTATCAGAGCTGTCATCTGCATAGTTTAAACTTTTTAACAGTAAGCAAGAGGGTTTATATATTCTTAAGGATTAAGTATGATTATAAAAGAAGCTACATACCAGGCTCAGAGACTGGCCATCACTGCATAGCTGGTGCATCGATGCAGAGCCTAGGGGGAATGTGCTGCCTTTCACACTGAGGCACAAGCATCTCTGTTCCCGATCAGGGGATCCCTCACACGCCGCCCTCCATTCACTCCATCTCAGCTCTGGTGAACTATGTCATAAGAGCAGCTTATTGCAGAACCACCACCAGTAAGTGTGTTTGGTGTGCTCTGTCCACTAGAATACAACTTTGGAGAAGAACAACATTTATTTTTGTTTTGTCACAGAGTAGATTAAGAAGTACTGCTAAGACCTGTATCAAAGCTACCATTCTCTCCCAAATCAAAAAAACAGCTTTTTATTTGTTTCTTTAAAAAATAATTCCTTTCATTTATTCTACATCGCCTGTTAAAAAACTACACAGAGCATTAAAAAAAATTCCTCATCCTACCACAACCATTAATATTTAAACTAAAATACCAGTTAAAAACCGGAAATCATCTTACTCAAAAACAGGCACTGATTTTTATCTGAGGACCACTCCAACCTAACCAAAAGAAAAAGGCTATTAACTGAACTTTTTGGTTCTGTGCAAAATAAAAAGCTAACGCGAGTTGCTCTTACATAGCCCTGACTCCACCGCCCTCTGCTGGATGAGCTACCTAACTACATCACACAAATTATTGCCTCAAGAGAAGTGACAGATGGATTGTCATTATGGAAAACAGTATGGAGATTCCTAAAAAAATTAAAAACAGACTTACCATATGGTCCAGCAATCCCACTCCTGTGCATATATCCAGAAGGAATTTAATTTGAAAAGATACATGCACCCCAATGTTTACAGCAGCACTATATACAATAACCAAGACATGGAAGCAACTTAAATATCCATCAGCAGATGACTGGATAAAGAAGCTGTGGTATATATATACAATGGAATACTACTCAGCTATAAAAAATAAAATAATAAAATAATGCCATTTACAGCAACATGGATGGACCTGAGATCATCATTCTAAGTGAAGTAAGCCAGAAAGAGAAAAATACCATGATATCACTCATATGTGGACTCTAATAAAAATAAAAAAAAAGGAAAAAGAGGACACTAATGAATGCATCTACTAAACAGAAACAGACTCACAGACATAGTAAAACAATTTTATGGTTACCGGAGGAAAGCAGGTGGGAAGGGATAAATTTGGGAGTTTGAGATTTGAAAAGGTTAACCACTATATATAAAAATAGATAAAAAAAAAATTTCTTCTGTATAGCACAGGAAACTATATTCAATATCTTATAATAACCTTTAATGAAAAATATGGAAACAAATATATGTATATATATGCATGATGAGGACATTACGCTGTACACCAGAAACTGACACACTGTAACTGACTATACTTCAATTAAAAAAAAAAACCTGTCAACATCATGAATTCCAAATTGTCAGTGAGAGATGTGAATTAAAGGGAGAAATATTTGGCATTCCTTTTTATACTTTTCATAATAAGCTGAAAACTAAGGGAGTAAAGGAAGAAAAGTCAAAATATTTAATAAATTATAGCAAGCAAAAATGTATGTAAATCAAATCATAGCTACACTTTAGAACATGTTAAAATCAGCTTTAGATTTCATAGCACTCTTTCTAGATAATTTAGAATACACTTTTTTTCCCCTAGACATATCACTCCAGCTGAATTCTGACTGTATCAAGCAATTCCATTTACACATTATAAAGTTAAATAAAGAGAGGAAGAAGAGAAGGGCAAGGGCAAGGGCAGGGCTGGATTCAAGAGATACCCAGGTCTCATCTTCTAATCCTCCAAAAGGTCATTCAGGGATCTAAGATCCACACTCAAACTTCTGGTTTCTTAATCACTATTTCTCAAAACATACTGAAAATGTACTGTGACTCAACATCATATCCAAAGGACAAAAATATCCACAAAACCATGAAATATATCATGTTGATTATCTGTTGTTACTTTCATTCAAAGATAAAATTCTTTCCATTTTACTACCTGTTGAAAAACTTGAAACGCAAGTCATCTGAATTTCCTACTTCTTGAGTGGACTTACCTATGCTGTCATACAGAGCCACAGTTCCGAAGCGACTTTTTAAACCTTACAATCCACTTAAAGGCTTATTTTTCTTAGGTTACTCACTTGATTCCTTAAGCAGCCAAGTTACAGATCTAGAAAGGCTGTGTCAGAGTGATGCTAGCCCCTTACTGTCTCACCACCAATTAACTCTGCCACTCCCAGGAAAGTCAGGATCAACAAAGACCCCATTTAAGTCCTACTGCAATGAACTAAAAGCTTTCATCAGAGATGTCCCATCCCAATTTCAGCATGCCCCAGATTAACTCCTTAACCTTTGTATTGCAGACTGAAAAGCATAACAGTTTGTGTTCTTAATTTAAAACAAACCCAACTTAATGAAGGCACGATTCTTTAAAAAAAATGCTTAAAGAAAGTCATATTCTTTAAAAATGTAACTACCATCAATAAAGACCCTATGGAGAAATATCTGCCAAGGAAAATCCTGAAATCCACACATATCTCAGAGGAACATATATGACATAATAAACAAATATCATACTAACACATAGGTACAAAATCCTAGGAACACTTGGTGGCCCAGGAACCTAATGATAACGTGCTTTCAGACAGAATGCAACTGACTCTTGTCCAATCACCAGCCCCTGTTCTCAAATGGGAGCAGGATAGTTTGGTGGAAGGGAGAGGGAGGCACTGAATTCAGAGAGGGTAAAGCTGAGGCCAGACACCACAGCAGAGAAATAGCTGGTGGAGGATTTGTCTGCCTTCCCAAGATCCTTGTGGCCCAACTTCTGGACAGGTAAGGAATAAGCACCAAAGAAGCAGAGGAGATTCCTAATGTCTACATGGCTGTCCCATAGGTCCCAGCCAAAGCCAGGACACAGGACCTTCCCCATGGTCCATAAAGATGGTGGACAAGGACCACTGGTGGTGCCCAGCACAGAACAGGCACTCAAGATTTGAATAAATAAATTCCTCAGGTAAAAAGTGTTTCACTAATGTTTCGTTAGGTCCCATTTGTTTATTTTTTCTTTTTATTTCTTTTGCCTTGGGAGACTGATCTAAGAAAATATTGCTCAAATCTATGTCAAGGAATGTTTCACCGATGTTCTTTTCTAGGAGTTTTATGGTGTCATGTCTTATCTTCGAAAACATCCCAAACCTAAAAAAGGAAACAGATATTCAGGTACAGGAAGCACAGAGGGTCCCAAACAGGATGAGCCCAAAGAGACGCATACCAAGACATATCATAATTAAAATGGCAAAAGTTAAAATGAGGATTCTAAAGGTAGCAAGAGAAAAAACAAACGATCCTTTACAAGGGAACCCCTGTAAGGTTATTACCTGATTTCTCTGTGGAAACTACAGGCTAGAAGGAAGTGGTAGAGCGCATGCTCAGCACGCAAGAGGTCCCGGGTTCAATCCCCAGTACCTCCTCAAAGCGGAAACCAATGAAAAACCTAATTACCTCCCCCTCAGAAAACAAACAAGAGAAATGCAAATTAAAACCACAGGAAGTAATCACCTCACACCAGTCCAAACCAACTATCATCAAAATGTCTAGAAATAATACATGCTGAAAAGGATGTGGAGAAAAGGGAACCCTTGTACACTACTGATGGAAATGTAAATTGGTGCAGACATTATGGAAAACAGTATAGAGGTTTCTTAAAAAACTAAAAATAGAACCACCATATGATCCAGCAATTCCACCCTTGGGTATATACCCAGAAAACACAAAAATTCTAATTCAAAAAGATACATGCACTCCAATGTTCACAGCCATACTACTTAAACTAGCCAAGACACGGAAGCAACCCAAGTGCCCATCAAAGATAACTGGCTTAAGATATGTGTATAATTATATACACAAATACACACAACTGGAATATTACTCGGCCATAAAAAGAATGAAATATTGCCATTTGCAGCAACATGGATGGACCTACAGAATATCATGCTTAGTGAAATAAGTCAGAGAAAGAAAAATACTATATGATACCACTTACACATGGAATCTAAAAAATAATACAAATAAATCTCTAAAAACAGAGACAGACTCATAGACATAGAAAGTAAACTTATGGTTACCAAAGTGAAGAGGGAGCAGGGAGGGACAAATTAGGAGTATGGGATTAACAGATACAAACTACTATACATAACACAGATAAGCAACAAGGAATTACTGCATAGAATGGGGAATTACGCCCAGTATCTTGTAAAAACCTATAATGGAATATAATCTGCCAAAAAAACCCCAAATCACTGTGTTGTACACCAGAAACTAACACAATATTGTAAATCCACTATATGTCAATTACAAAACAAACTGTATGGAATTTATATACTAAGATCTATCAAAATAGCATATAAATTGTCCACACAAAAATTGGACCATTGTTTAGTATAAAGATTCCAGAAAGCACAGCTTTATTAACAACTTCACTAATGACAAGGTTACTTGAGCAATTAAAAATGATCTGAAAATGCTTTTACTAAATAATTATATAATTTTCCCTTTCAGTTGATTGTGGATCCAATTTTATAACTAACATTATAGCACAAAGCATCCTTGTTGCTAGTTAGTTTGCCTGGTTTTACAATTTTCAGCTAATTCATGTATTGATACAATACTAATAACTAACGAAATACAGTAGGTATTATGGTAAGATTACACATTCTGAAATAATAGAAATCTCCATATTTTGAAATAGCTATTACTGAATTTTTAAAAATAGGTAAATACAGCTTTTAAACTTTAAAATCATGTGTTTATTTAGCTTATTTTTAAAATACATAGATTCTAAAAATACATCATATCAAGAGTGTCTGGTAAAGACCTTTGTAACTTCCAGTTCTGCCAATATTCCTATAATGCACCCCTGATAACAATGACATCACTGGGTATAGGGGTGAGGGGCTGGGGGCAGCCTCTGAGACACAGTCACTGAGAAGGGGGCCACACTTCAGTGTAAGTTACAATCAGAACTTAGTCATGGAATAATATGCCTACCACAAGTATCCTTCCTCAAACTTAAATTATTCTTCCATTCTTTTCCTAAAGTCCTTCCTCTGTCTCTAGTTCCCATATAAGCCCTCATTCTAAACACACTTTATTTTACTTTTCTCTCTTTTTTTCCACTCATTTACGCATCAGTACACTATTTTCTGGAGAAGAAAAATCAAAACGTGATCAAAGATAAAAATTTATCAAAATAAGATCTTAGGACTCTAAAAACCATAAATGATTTAATCACTGGTTGCCCAAAAGCATTCTTTGTTTCTTTTCCAAGATGATGATGATTCTTCATACATTTCCTAAAAAACAGAGCCATAACAAAAGTTCAAAAGAGAGTATTTTAATAAATGCAAGTATATTTGAATAAATCATGAAAATGAGTATCACAACTATTTAAATCTGTTGCTCTTTTAACAATCCAATGGCTATTTGCATAAGGCATTGAGAGCAGAAAAATGAATAAACATGTTCCCTACATGCAAGGACTCAGTCCGGTAGGAGAAATGACAGAAGAGAAGCCTTAACAAGACAAGGGGCAACCATGGAAAGGAATACACAATTAATTCCACTCAGGACCAAGACAGGAGACAGCCTGGCAAAGGTTATACAGGGAAGATGGAAGGTCTTTAAACCTTTTTTTCTTTCCAAACACTCCTACTATTTCTAAACATGCTTTTCCAAAGGCAGGAAGGACATTTCTATTAGCTGTGAAATTAAGAAACTGCCACAGAGGTTCTTAAATGAGTCTGCGCTGCGTTCTGGGGACAAACGCTCTGTATGTGCCCTAGCCCCCTGTCCACCCCTGGCCTGTATCACAGATGATCTAAAGCACAGGCTGAGACCAGAACCAGACTAGGATTCAGCTAACCTGGGGAGGAAGGGGAATAAGAATCATCGTTTTCTCTTCCCCCTCTCTAGTCAGATTCTGTTTCTGTAGGAGTAGAAATCCTAATTCAACTGTCCTCTGAACACCTGTACACCCTCCCACCCTCTACGGATAGAAAAGGAAATAGAAAGCCCAGCTGGTCCTCGAGCATAAAAACGAGAGCGTGCCCCAACTCCTGCCCACTGCCTTATTTAGGGGTAAAGGGGGTTCCCTCTCATCTACTTTGTCAGCTGACTGTTCATTCTTTCCTCTCGGGGAAAGAAAGCCACCGCTGTCAGCCAGGCTCACAGCTCATTCTGGAATGCTCTCCGTGCCTGGCTCTTTCCAGGGGCCTGTCTCATGTTCCATCAAAACTGTGGCCGCCCTGTTCACAGCAAATCAGCCAGATACCTGAGTTTCAGTGGGTTTCAATTTTTATTCAGTAAATATGGTCACTAAATGTCACAGTGGTTCAGAGTCCAATATGCTCACTGCACCACTGCCTGAGGCCAAGAGGCTCCTAGGAAGGACTCGCCCTCTGGCCTCAGCTCCTGGCCTTCTGCTCTACTGGGCGGTGAATGCCTTCCTCAGCCTTGCTCTCAGCCACAAAGCTGCAGGCAGTTCTAGGCTCTTAAAGGTCACTACACATGTCTGAGAGTACAGAGCAATGCCACTGTGGAGGTTAGCACACCAGGAAAGAAATTAGGGAGCTGGGCCTTTTCACCTCTTCAGAATGTTCTATTTAACCAGAGAATTGTTTGCTTTTATTGATGGGTTTCACGTACGGACAGAAAATAAGCTAGAATTTCCAATTCAGGCTTTTAAATCCACTCACTATGCATGTTCTCCAAGGAGGCAATATCCTATCCTTTTCTCTTCCAAAGATGAGGGAGCTCCAGAATGCTCTTTTATCCTGAGGAACCCCTATTTTAGCCACTGTTTAAATAGCCACACATTATTCCCACTCTCCAAAGGAAAGACCCTCTAACTGAAGGGAATTCTAATCTAAGTATTACTTCATATATGAACCACCGGAATGGCCCAGACGAGGAATTCTGTTACCACTTGTGGTCTACTCCGCACCATGCATTCTTTGGGGCACGTATTTTTCATGCTTAACAACCTTCAAAAGTAGATTATTACACAGACATCTTATTTCACAGATTAAAAAAACAAGGTTCTACAAAGTCAATGAAGGCCCATGAATACAAATTCTGTATGTACTCTTCTTCCTTAGCCTTTAAAAATTCCTGAGAAAAATCATGCCCAAAGGCAAAATCAGAGATGGTCTGGACTTACCTTCTTCCATATGGGCACCCTGGCTTTTAAAGTATCAATGGCATAGCTCACAGCTTCGAGGGCTGCAGCCCTGTGGGCTGAGGACACAGCAATGACAATGCTTGCTTCCGACACTGGAACTAAGCTTTAGCAAAACAAAGAAAAAAAATTCATCATCTCCTCTGAGGATACTTGTTAAAGAATCTACTATTAGATACATGGGGAGGGGGGAATTTCCAGTGAAGCATCCCTGGAACCAAACACTCAGTTCTGTTTTACTGAAACATCCCATTTAGTATAAAACATTAATTCATCCCAGTTGCTTTTGGCAGAGGGGAGGTCGAGGCTGTGACTAACTTGTTAACAGCTACTCACTAAATTTATTTGATGGGCACCAAGGAGAAAGGCAACTTTCACTGATTCAACAAATAAATACCTGATTCAAACAAACGAGGCACAGTGCCAGGTAATGTCGAAAGATACAAAGTTATCCCAGGATGAATACAACAGAGAATTTAAAATATTAAATAGCAATAAATAGTAAATAACAGAATTATTAACATTATTTTTAAAATTACACTTACTAATAAAATAATAACTAATAGATGATAAATTTAGTCTCAATTGTGAGGTTCTTTTCAAAGTATGGAACGCCACTCTTCTTTGTGGTACAAAAAGGCAAACTAATTTAAGGACCTTAAAAGGCATTTATATAAAAAAATTCTCTTAAAAGACTGTCATTTAAACAGAGTCCAGACAACAAAATAGTTCTGAAAGGGCCTCAGGGCCTTTAGCACATATCAGCCCAGGCTGTTGGGCACAGAGCCTGAGTCTTGCACGTTTGGACTTTGTTCCAGCATCAGCCACTCTCCAAATACTACAACGTAACAAGCAGCCTAAAAGGCACCCTCTGCCAGAATACACAAATCTCCCTCCCAGGGTAGTGCACGATGCCAATGAAAGATTCTAGAATCAGAATTAGTATAAAAGTGGAAAACAACTATGCTTAACTTTTAAATTGATAAAGGGAATCATACCCAAGTCGATGGAATACTGCTATGTGTCTGACTGGCCATTTTTGCCTAATGTCAATACAAATTTTTCTGATTTCATTTTCCGCCATTGGTAGATATGCTTCATATTCTAAGCTAATGACTTTCTTCCCTTCAAAGTTATTCCTTGTAATCCCTAAAAAAAAAATTACTATTAAAATTTCTCCTTAAAACAGAAATGCATACTAACAGAATAAAAAAGGATTATTTTTGAATAGACAAGTAGCATACTGATTGTCTAAAAATTACTTTGAAATCTTCTGAAGACAAAAACTTGATTAGAAAATCAAAAGGTAATTATCACAAAGATAAGGAAGTAAAATGACACTGATCCGCCAAGCTTACTGAAAACATTCATACAACAAACCAGTAAGTACTCTAACAATTAGCACTTGACCCTTAAAAGGAAAACTATCTTCTCAGGATTATCATTAAGATACTATCTTCACCATTTCTTTCCTCTCAATATTTGGAAAATACAGAATTCTCTCTGCTAATAATGACTATTATCCGACTTTTTTTTCCTTCGCCTTTAACATAGGTTAATTTGAAGATTACTAAAACAAAACAAGAACTAAAAAATTTCTACTCACTACCATGGGTCATCGTGGCTTACTGCTCAGTATCTTAAAATCCTCTATTAAAACTGAACATGAGAAACACTTGATAATTTCTATTGTCTTGTATAGTCAATAGGTGCTGTAAAAACTGCAACTCACCTACAAATAGGGATATTGCACCACAGAGTGGAGAAATCACCAGCCGTGAGACTTCATCTATGGAAAGCTTCTCAGATGTGAGTTTTATTATGTCTTTAGATTTCCCTTCAACTTCATTCACATCTTTCCTAGAAATAAGATAGTAAGAAACTTAAATATTGGTACCAGAGGCAGAACACTCCACTTATAGGCTGTGTTTCAATTTATATTTTTTTCCGCATTAGATGTGTTAGGAGGCATGATTTGATCTGAATGATAAAAACAAGCAAGTGTAAAATTTTAGCAGAACTCAGTAATTTCACAAATATCCCTAGTGAATCAAGCATGATAAAAAAGGAATTCACTACTAACATGACCACTTAAAATGTAATCTACCTCATATGCCAATGTATTCCAAATTCTGGAATTGCTACTCTTAACCTCCTGTTCAGACGTGACACCTTCACCCACATGCACATCACCTCTAACACCTATATTACCATGCACCACACCCAGAATTGCCTTTTTCTTTATCTAAAAAGGAGAGAGAGCAGAAATGATGGTGACTCCACAGGAACTAGGTTTATTTCACTATCAGACATAAGCTCAGTTAGGTAATTGAGGAAATAAGGGAATGGACTGCATGCCTCTTCACCAGATGCTGTAAAAGTCCTTTGCCATGCATTTGTCATTTCATTCATCAGCATTTATAACAGACTCACTAAGGGTCAGAAACTGGATCCCCTGCGCTGGATATAGACCAGGGAACAAAAGACCTGGCTTCTGCACTCAGGGTGCTTACACTGGAGAAAGAGCAAAGGAATAAATGGGAATTACAATTACGGAAAGCATATGGAAATAAACAGGGTTCTGAGACAGAGAATGGGGGCTGGGGAAGTGTGGTTAAGATAAGAGGCTCATGCTATCAGGAGAAAAAAAAAAAAAAGACAAATTTTCATATGCCAGTGGATTCCAGGATGTTTCAACCTCCTGTACATGCCACCCAAGCTGCTTCTACTTCTTTCTCTTGCAGTATGATACAGTAAATACAAACATGGTCTATGAACATCACACCCTGAGTTTCACAACTTGACGCTATAAGAACATAGGTTCTAAAATCCTATCAAACTCAAATAATACACAATGCTGTTGAGTAATCGTCGTCTTCCCAAAGAACAGCTCTAGTCACCACACACACAGACACACACGCACACCTTCCATGGCAGCCCATTGTCTTATGAATAAATTCCAAACTCCAAAAAATAGCACTTTTCTATAATCAAAATAAAATTGAGACACATATCTAACAAGGAATTCTATTATTTCCAAACAGTAGAACTAAGAAAATCCAATCACGATCAACATGCTTGGCAATTTGCTTTGCGATGTTTATTCTTCATATTTTGGGGCACTACCCTCCAGGAGAGTAAGGGGAAAAAAGTAGGTGAAAAAAATAAATAGGCATCTTTGGCTTGTTTCTTTCTTTAATGAAATCAATGTTTTCCCATTGAGTATGATACATTCTCTTGATTTTGGAGAAAAACACTATCAAATTAAGAAAGTTTTCTTTCATTCCTAACTTACCAAGAGTTTTTAATTGAGGATGGTTGTTAATTTCTACATTATTTATTCCTCAGTTCACAAATAAAGCCTCATTCTGTCTCTCCAGATCACACTGAGAAATGTTCTTGTACAGTACCTTACTCAGATATGGACTACATTATTTGGAAATATGGAAAGATGACATTGGTCCTAGAGTCACTTGCAATATAGCTGTAATAAAGCTGTCTCTTTATACCTAGAAAATGGTAAGCTTTCTTTTTAGGAAGGGTGATCTTTTTACTCTCTAGTAATGCAATTTTTCTACATTTCTCTGTGCCCAATATTAACAAGCATATTTGTGAAAAAGTGCATGGAGTCCAATAATCCAAATTCAAATGTTGGCTCTGCCACTTGTTAGCTATGTGATCACAGATGAGCTTTTTAATTTCTCTGAATTTCAGTTTCCCCTCTGCAAGACAGAGATATTAAACACTCCAGTGTCCAGCAATGGGCCTGACATGAAATAAAATCTCAATAAACTATGATAAATCAATAGAATGAATGTATCAAAATGACAAACTGTTTACAACAGAATTGATAAAGAGATGACGAGTATAAGTCTGTCTGCATCAATGCAAGAGTTGCTGCTTTCATAAGATTTGGTGCAGACAGACTTACAAAGAGGACACAGTTAAATCAAACCATTTAAAAGTTGTCATCTACATGATCCTTCTCCACAAGATTGGTTAAGGAAAGTGTATCTCACATACCCAAGTGTCTCAAAAGCACTATCCTCCACTAATGGGGGGGATAATGGCAATTTCGTCTCCTGATTGTAGCTGGAGGAGCTGATCTCCAAGCTCGACATATTCTTGACGGACAGCAAATACCACCTGATTTCTGACATCAGCCAACCTGAAGGAATTTAAAAAAAGTATAATTAGATGCAGCAATGCTGTGTGAGACCCCAAATCTTCTCAGCTGCAACTAAAGTTACACAAATACTACTTTATAAAGCATCTTCTACAAAATTACTAATTAAACAAATTGATATTTTGCAGAGAAAAGATATATCCACTAAAGAATACACTTATTCTCCACAAAGAACACAGTAAACTGCTAACAACTCTTTATTGGATGCTATGTGTCTTGGGAAATTAAAGAAACAAACAAAAAAAATACTAGACTGGAGACAACATTCAGACCAGGTCAGGAAAAAAAAGGAAAACTTCTTAATTAGTACCTCCTGCCTTTACCAGGAGCTTTCTTTAGTAAACAAGCATACTAAGTGTACCTAGGAAGGTTCCAAAGCACCAGGTGCCTCTCAGTAGGTAAATGATTAAAGGTAAAATAGGCCAGAAGCCCCACCACATTTCATTGATTAACAGAGCACTTTAAGAATTTAAAAGACATGAAGCCAAGAAAGAATGGTTTTCTTTTTGAACATACATTGTAGACTATCTTTTACACATCACTGGGATTTGAGTGACACTATTAATATTCATGGAATACGTTCAAATAAACCACTTTCATATTCTGTTCCACAAAAGACTTGAGACAGAAAAAACAGCAGTAAAATTATACATTTTCAAGAACCAGGAAAAAAATCAAATATTGCAAAAACTCAAATTTAGCAGCAGCTAAGATTTGTTGTCCTTCAATTTTCTTTCAATCTTAGAAATTTCTATTTTGAGTTATCTAAAGAAGGGGCAGGACATAAAAGTTTAAAGAACACATTTTTAACAGAATTTGTAACAAATTCATATAATGTTATAAAGATGCAAAAATCTACATTTTCAGTATTTTGTAAATTATAAAAGCAAATATAATCATGTCTCTTTGAGAGTATCTCAGTTCACTGTGTTTTTTCAGTAAAATATCTTTAACTTTTCTTAAGCAATTCTGCATTTAAAAACTAGAATTTAAGTTTTTAAGAGTAGTTTCAGAAAAATACAACTAACGACCCTTTGACATTAAGCATGTAAATCAAAATTAACTTTTTTTTAACTTTTATCATTTACTCACACATTTTTAAATATTAAGAACTGTTAATCACATGCATTCTACAAATGTTTACCCAGGATGGCGTGTTTCTATCTCATTCCACAGCTGTAATGCTTTTATTTTTTGTGGCACAGAAATGGTCTCTGAACGAATTCCTGTTATTTCAGCACTTACTGCAAAATACAACACTTCAACCTGAAAAAGAGAGAAAACGCTTTTAACAGTAACAACTCATAGTCCTTTTCTGACTGTCCTTGCTGGGTTTTCTTGTTTTCCAGATGTATTTCTTTAATCTAAAGACACTTCATAAGTTAGAGAAAATTAAGTGCCCATAAAACTTTCAGTATATCTACAAGTTCAAATTTTGAAAAAAATTTGTTTTAAGTACAATTCAGACTAATTTCTGGATGCTTTTTACTTTTATAAATGTTCGCATGCCACAACTAAAACTCTAACAATATCTTCTTAGAAACCATGAAGTGGGCCTTTAATTAACATGATATTACAGCACCTTTCATAAATACTTAGGCAGTGAAGGAACAAATGTCTGAGTCAAGAGATGAATTACACAAATAAAATAAATGACCAAATACGGGAAAGACACGTCTTTCACGATTGTCACAGAACCTTTGACTCAAGTCTACATTACACTGAACCCAGCTGTCCAGAATTAAGTTACGTAACACACAAACCCTGATATTTACAAAAGCAGATGGGCCTGAAATACAGGACAAACTGGTATTTCCTAGGACAAACCTATGCAGACTGCCTGGTATCTAAGGACTCCAACCAAGTAAAATAAGCCAAATGTCACTCAGAGCAAATTATTCTCTATGAAATAATCAAAAGTCTGCAAGTAATCAAAGGTTTGCAAATGCACAGATGAAGCACATTTCATCAGAGTTCTCAGTTAACTGCATTTCTTTTTAAGTTGGAAACCTGTCTTCGAACGCACAATCTAGAAGCAAGGTGGGCAAAGACCGTGGGTGCCTTTAGAAACCTGCCAAACGCCGTCACCTGCACCAAGAGTTCTAGGGGTGGTCTTGCCCTTCAGTGGGGAGGCCGGCGCAAAGCCTCCGAAGCCGGGAGGGGCCCCCGTGGTGGCGACGGCCGCCGGGGCCTAGCTGAGCAGGGCTAGGTCTGTGGCGGGAAAGAGCGAGAACAGACACATCTGGACGGCTCCCCATCCTCACCTGGCACCGCGTTACCATCCCGCCAGGCGTCCCGTCTCCCTCGCTCGGCGTCCCGGCCGCGGAGGCGGAGACGCCAGGTCCACGAAGCGCGCAGGCGCAACCTGCCGGCCCCTTCCGCCCACACAGGGCATGCGCAAAGCTAGCCCCGCCCCGCTATTCCCGCAGCTTTTGCGCCGCTGACCGATCCGCGGAAAGCTGGTTCACGCGCTGGTGGGTCGCGGTGGTGAGCGAGAGCTGTAGGTGTCACTAAAAGGCAAAAGGGCTGACCACGCATGCCTTCTCTTTCTACGAGAAGTCGAGATGCGGGAGAGCAGTCCCCAGGCTCTGCTGGAACCCTGCCACCTGCGTTCCGGCAGTTCGGCTTTTCCTCTTGCTCACCTGTAGGCTTCTTCTGACACTTTTTAGCTACCCCGCCTTCCGGATTACTGTTCCATAAAGACTTAAAGCCTTCAACGTATCCGAGCACTCGAACTGTATCAAATTTCCACTTTTCCTGTTTACTAGCTGCTTAGTAATTTATCCGCATACTCCATCTAACACCTCCACCTTTTTACCAACGAGAACTGCTCTGAATTGCATAGATATGAGGGTATAGTTAGGCAGCCCTCCCCTTAGAGCTCACAATCCTGGATGTGAGACAGTCATAAAGCAGTAATGGTAATTCAGTGCAGCAAATGTAATACTAGGGATACATGTTACATTTCATGAGAGTGGAGGGAGAGGGTGGCCGGTCACCTGAGGATTGTGCTCTAGGAAGTCCTCATGGAGGGGATAGATGCTTTAGCTAAATCTGCTGGAATGAGCGGCAGCAAATGGTAGGTTGGGGTAGTGGTGAGGGATTTTTAATAGGCTGTGCCAAGCCAGAGGGATATAAAGCAGCATAATGAGGTCACAGAAGGACAAATAGTTGGCAAGGTTGTCGTGTCCCTGCAAGGAAGTGGGAAATGAGGCTGAAGATATGAAGTATTAGCCCATGGCAGGAAAAGCTGACAAGGACTAATACCAACATATATTCTGGCAAAGTTGTTAAACATCAAGGATAAAGAATTATATTCACATCCAGGTAGAAAATCAGGGGAATGACGGCAATGACCATAGACTTGTCCGAAACATCTGATGCCAGTGGATGCTGGTGTGCAATACCTTAAAAAGGCTGAGAGCAAAAGCATGACCCCGAATATTACATACAGCCAAGCTGGTGTCAGTAAAGGCCAAACCTGGTACTCCTAAGCCCACAAAAACTGAAAAAATACCATAAACAAGAGCCCTTCTTTAAAAAATCTCCTTGGGCGAAAATCCCATCAATCAGGAGGGTAATCAGACTTTAAAACTCAGTAACAAGGAAGTTAATGATAAATAAATAAATAAACTGGAGGTGAGATTTTAATCCATTTAAATATAAAACAAACATAATTGTGGGCTTATGGTGATGGAATAAAATATAAATGACATCAGAATATTTTGAAAAAGTAATAGAAGCTGCTCAAAATCGGAAGATCTAATTACAAAACATTGATTCAAGCCTCTTAATATTTCCCATAATCTTAAGTTTAGAAGGATCTTTTAGGGGCAACTATGTCTTGTGAATAAATAATCTCAGGATTTTTAATTTCTTGCATTTCACTTCAGTTATTTTGCTGTTGTTAAATCCAAGTAGAAATAAAGTAAAATCTTGAAAGGAAAATAGTATATAGTGTAATTGCATATGTGTGTATGTGTGTGTAAACTTTAATGCCCAGAGAAAAGGGATGGAATAACATTCACTATATGACAACAGTTGCTGTACCTGGCCAGTGGAATTGTGGATGATATTAAAAATACTTTTGCTTCCTCTTGTAATTTCTGTGTTGCTTTATTTTTCTAAGTAATGTATTCATTCTATGAATATTTATTGAGTCCTTATTGTTATTTAAGCACTCAAGATACATCTGTGAACTATAAAAATAAAGACCTTGCATCTTGTACCTTACTGTCTAGTTAGGAAGACAGGCTACATGTAAGAAAACAAGTAAGGACAGTGTGTGATGAGTGATAAGGAAATGAGTAGGGGAGGAGCAGGGTGCATGTTTGTCGTTAGGGTCAGGAGGGTGATTTGTTAAAATGAGCAATTCTAGATGGGTTTATGTTGAACCTGTATAATTTTATTCATTGGTCATTTTGAATACAAACATAAAACCTAGGATAAAATACATACACTTGTTTATTGAGGGAAATGAAAAATTTAAAAAAGCACTCCCCCTTGCGGTTAGTTATTCCAATTGCAGGTCGTGTTCTTGACTGACCGTATTCCAAAACCAGTGTACAATCTCCCAGCTTTAGATGGCAGAGGAAAGCCAGATCTCAGAATTTCATTACTGTAAAATTGAACCGATACCAAACAAATAGTTTAAAAAGCAGAGAAAAAATACCACACAGGGGCTATTAGCAAACGAAAAGCAAAGCTCTTTTAAGGAGCTTGGTGTAGGCTCTAGAAAGCTCCTAGTACTCACTTTCTGGAAGCACTAAGAGGGAGAGCTGAGGAAAACAAAAAGCTGAAAAAATCTTACCAAACAGAAGCTGGTGAATCAGAAATCTACAGAAGTCCCATCCCACCCCTTCAGAAATAAAAAGAGACCTGAGGCAGTTGCAGGTGCAGGGAGGGGCTGAGCCCAGAATCCTTGGTGGACAGGCCAGGAAAAGCCCTTCTCATCCTGCAGGTGCTCAAGAGGGGAGCCAAATCCACTTTCACACATCTGTCAGCAATCTAAGAGTAGAAATGTCTGACACCTGAATACAGGGCAAGAGCACAAGTGGGGCTGCCTTTCCTTCAAAGTAACAAAAGTTTCAGAGGCCCAAATCCAACTAGCGGCTGAGGAGGATCTGATGATACACCCAAGTTTATCCCTGGATATAAAGAGGTGCTCCTGGCACTATGAAATAGACCCAGGCTGAAGATCTTTAATAAAGCCCCAAAGAGAGAACAGAGCCTGGCTGGGTCAGTGGAGGATGCAGGCAGGCTTAGCAGAGAAAAGTCTCTTCCAACTTCAATTCTCATCCTACCCCTTGCCCTCAGGCTCCACGTTTTTCCTTCTCTGTACCTCAGGGTTCGGCAAACTTTTTTGTAAAGAACCAGACAGTAAATATTTAGACATCCCACTCTGCTCTGTCACAGTCGCTCACCTCTCCGGTTGTAGCATAAGAGCAGCTGGTGACAACGTGTAAGTGAATGAGTGGGGCTCTGTTTCAATAAAATGATTTTTAAAAATAGGAAATGGGCCACTTTGTCCCTCAGGCCATATTTGCCAACCTTGCAGCATCGCTTATAAAGTAAGGAAAAAAGAATGGAGTGAAAGAGAATTTAGGTTATAAATGAGCATAAATAGGTCTGGACAAATCTTTCCATGTTAAGTATCAGTAAAATGAGAAATGAAACAAAATGTAAACAAGGGAAAATATATTTTGGTGAAACTTAAATAAAGTTAAACAAATATTTTAAAATGTAGGTTGCAAATGATAGATTAAAAAATATAGTAGAAAGCAAAAATCCTTGCCAAGGAAAACCTCCCCACAGGGCTTTACACTGTAAGAGAATTTACAAGGACACAAATTTGTATAAGACGACTTCAAGGATAAGATAGAACCACAAAACAGAAATAAAGGTTACAAGGAAATGTCGAGGAGTAACATAGGACTGTTACAAAACCAAGCAATAAATATATAAGAAAGCAGAAAAATATAAGCAGAGACCTAATTATTGGTATAGAGCAGCACTGTCCAGTAGAACTTTCTGCAGTGATTGGAATGTTCTATAACTGTGCTACCTGTTAGAGTAGCCACAGTGCCTACTGAAGACTTAAAATGTGGTTAGTGCAATCAAGGAACTGAATTTTACATTAAAACTATTTAAAAATTAATTTAGATATAAATAACCACACATGGTTAGTAGCTATTTATTGAACTGTAAGTCTAGAGGAGATTCTGAAAACAATTACAGTTGATTCTTGAACAACAGGGGCTTGAATC